AGGCGAGTCGAGGTACGGACCCGACCTACCAACCAATGAGGGCATATTGTCGTTCACTCTGATGAACCAAACGTACATGCCCGACAGGGACACCTCGATCGAGCTCCACTGTCAAAGTACCCACATAGCAGAACACCCAGCTCGCGATGGGCAGTTCACGCCGCGGGCGTAGGACCCCGATCGCGGTCATACGCCCGACATGCGGATTCCACTCCGCGTATTCGACACATTTTGAAGTGCGTCGAACCGTCACGGGGGTTGAACGGATATCTCCACTCGAACACAAACTTCGCCAAGAATTCATTATCAAAATAACAGTCGAGCATATACCTAAATACTATCAGATAATTACAAACAAAGCATCCATCGAACAGGCAATCACAAACAAGGATTAATAATGTACCGACCACAAGGGCCGGCGATATCCGAAATTACAATCCATGCACGACGTCCAAAAAACTAAGAATAATATGGGCACGCAGGCCCCAAAAACATATACGGGCACGCATGCCCAAAAAAAAACAATAAACGGGCACGCAGACCCAAACACCAACAAAGTATCAATCAGTCCCCGGAGTGCTGACATCGACATCAGGAGAGTCAGTGTTCAAACCCGGATTTAGCACGGATAGCTGGTTTACCGCATCCTCAAACCCATCGGCCAAAGCGCCAATGCAGTCCGACTCTAGGAGTTGAATGCGAGCAATAAAGTCAGAGCGCATACGCAAGTCAGCCATCCCCTATGGCTCGTCCTCAGAGGGAAACATAACGACTTTCAGGTCCTCGACCTCTCTCGACAGCCGCTGGTTGTCGCTCTCCAACCGTTCCCTATCAAGCTGGAGGCAATCTCTTTACTCGAGAGCCCTGCCAGCCCTTTCCTTCTCCCCCGACAATACATCAGACTGCTCACGAAACATTTCCTCGGAGCATTCGAGGGCAGCCTTCAATTTGCGGGACTTGGCCGTAAGAGTCGCCTTCTCCGACTCCAGCTCTCTGAACCGATTCGTGGAGTCTGATCCTTCCCCCGCGAGGACCACCGCCATCTCGGCCATTTTTACCACACCAACCATACTGGCAGCAAGGTGCTTCCTCTGACCTTCCTTGTCAAGCCGCCTGATGATGCCGGCCTCGTTGTCGGACACGGTCAAGGGAAACCCCTCGAAGAAGTCTTTCTCCATGAAGAAAGGTGGCAGGCCGAAGGCCCGGGCATCCGCACCTCCGTCGGTCACTTCGAACCCATCATCTGGTCGACTTCACTTCTTGCTGACCAGCGCAGATTGGTGCTCAGCGTCCGGGGAACCCGAGGACCCACTGGATCCTTCCCTGCCCGAGTCAGGAGGTGGCCCCATTCGCGTGGCTTGTTGCGGCCTCACCAGTCTCTTGTTGATTTTCTTATGGGTTAACTTCAGCGACCTTTTGCGACGCTCCGCCATGTGACCTACAAAGAAAGTGTACTGGGGTTAGCTACGTACATTAAAGAAAGCAATTAAAAAGGAATAACAATAGAGCAAACCAAGAAACCTAAGAGGTCTACGACTTGCCCGTAAGATTGGCACTCGACGAGCGCCTTGGTATTAATCTGGAACGCCTCGAATGTCAGATATCCATCCTCATCAAGAATGCCACCCCCTTCCCTCGTAACCCACCGAGCAGGAAAGAAGCCATCGACAAACTTGTTCAGGACGCCATAAGCTTCCTCGTCCTCAGCACTCATACCCCCAGCAGGAGTGTGGTAGTATCCAGGACCATGGTCGTAATGGCCCGAACACCAGTGAATGGGAAATATAGAGACTCGCCTGATCTCGGGATTACCCTCGGCGTCCAAACATGGCTCCCCATCCTCGTCCACCACATTGGCCGGTTCGAATAGCGAATCTACGATCGTCTGGGTAGACGGTTGCAAAATATACCACTTATATTTAAAATATCGCACGGAGTCCATATACATCCTAAACAGTCTCTTCGAATGCTTAAGGGACACCCAACTGTGCTTCCCTCCTCGGGACTGCCATTGTAAGTGAAAAACCCTGAAGAATAGGGGAATCGTCGCCCCAATCCTCAGGAAGCGACAAGTGAGCTCGAATTCCCGGAGAAAGGCAATCGCATTAGGATGGAGTTGGGAGGGGGCCAGGTTCAGATGGTTGAATACCCCGACCTGGAAGTAATTAAAGGGCAACAGGAGCCCGGGATCTCTAAATACGATCTCGTACATGGGAAATGCATCTTGTGTAAACTCCGAACAGATACGGGCATCCCTCGACGACCTCATAATCTTGAAGTTCCTTCGAAATCCCTCTTGACCACCGTCGTACTCGAAGACAGTATAGGCTTGTCTACTGGGAAGGCTATAGACCGAAGCTATTCCCTAGGGTTCAGCATCGACCCAATCCAGAGTGGGGTCATCGACGGTGTCGACAAGGGTAATAGTTTCCTCCGCTGTGCTTGTTTCCTCGACGTCATTACGCCCTGAGGACTTGGGAATGTCAGCCATTTACCTGCAAAGTACAGGAAACTAGTGAATTCGACAGCAAATCCGCATGTCCGCCACAAAGACGGGGAGAAGTAAGCAATACTCAGACCGAGTCTACGACCATTTGCACGAGAAACGGGGAACAAGTGGACCTCGACCAAACACGGACCCCAGCGGCGGACGCGCATCAATCATGAACGACGCAAGCATAGCATGAGTATCTCGGGCAAAGGATGAATCCCGCGACCAAGTTCATAATGTTGCTGGCCCGATACAAGAATACTACGGGGAAAACTAGCCTACATACTAACGAAAGGATGAATCTCCCGACCAGGTTCATGAATCTACTAGTCAAACGCATGAGTGTCGCGGGCACGATCCTGAACCGTATGCCTAAACTAATGAATATCTCGGGCACAACCATGAATCAGGCGCCTAGCGCGCTTAAATCTATCAGGCACAATCCCCAGACACAAGATTCTACCACTAAAATGCTATCAAATCTATCTACAACACGAGAAATCAAAGGGAGAAAACACTTACTTGGAAGAAGATTTGAAGAACGACGGTGGTGGAAGTAATCAAATGGCAAACAGTGCAGCTGTCTCGGTAACGCAATGAAGACTCATGAGATTGAAAGCAGAGAAAATATGAGAAGTGTGAAGAGGTGAAAACGAACTATGGGCCCTGGAGCCCTATTTATAGAGATGACGTGGAATATGAAACGTCGCGCCGGGGAACCACAAATCGCCCCCGTCCTCGACGTTTACTCGCATAGAGAATGATGGCCCTATTCTCTAGGGCGACATTATGGTTTCCAAGAGCTCCACCACGTGTCCAACTGACGCACCCCCACGAGCGCTCCTCGAACACTCCTCGATTGTTGCATGGGGAAAATCACAAACCGGGTGATGTCTCTTCTCCCCGGCTGAAAACCCCTGCGTCGCGCAAGCGAGTCTCGCGAAAGAGAGAACTGGAATCAAGTCATAACTCCTGTACCAGGAGCAACGACTTGGGGGGCTCTTGTTCTGGACTGGGCCTGCCCGTGGCCCAATCACCAGTGAGGCCCAATCCAAGCTTTACAGCGTGTTATGTTGGGCGTTAGACCCTCTGAGCACACCCGATCATGGGCGACAGGTCGAATACGACCGTGCCCGCTGGTGACCGCGAAGAACGTCCCCAACGAGAAATGCCCTATACGAGGAACATCCCAATCCAAGCCCTGCTCGAGTACCCTTCTCGTAGGGCAGATTTTCAACCTCTCAGGATGTCTCAGAGTCCTCAGGATCCCGGGAAGATCGTGTCTTTACCCTCCCTATTCTGCAGAGAACATCATCCAGGTAGGGGACCACGTGCAGGTCCCCACTACTCACGTGGAACCTGGCAGTCCCTTTGTTGGGCCGGTTTGGTCAGCCTAATAATGAGACCTTGGCCCAACGCTGGGGGCTATAAATACCCTCTATTTCAAGAGGGTCAAGTATTCATTCATTCACACCTATATACTACTTGCCTGCTCATTCCGTCTCTCACTTTGTCATCGGAGTGTCTTGGAGGTACACCCCCCTCCTTCAAATCCAATTCAAAGCCAACTGTAGCGGTCCAATTCTGATCAGGTACGATCAAACACTAACTTTGATATCTTTTAATATAAACATATATTATTAAAGACTAAAATATAGTCAAAATATTTTAAAAAAAATAATATATTAAAAATGATTTTTATGAAAATCTATTTCAAATAACTTCAAAATTAAATAATTTTTTAAAATTTTGACATCCAAAAAAATTACAATAAACAATAAAATATCTAAAATAATATTTTAAGATTAACTATTCAAACCAAATTTCATTTGAAACTTTTATAAAAAAATTCTTTATAAATTTTTATACACAAAATTACATAACATTATAAAAATTATTTTTAAAAAAACTAAAATAAACAAACCTTTAGTTAGATATAAATTTCTTATTAATTTATGATATAAAAATATTATATATGATCGATAAATACTATTTTTTCTCTAAAATTATTAATTATTAATTTATTCAATAAACAATACTTGATACGCATGCAAAATTAGAGAAGATAAAAAAACTTGATTTTAAAATAAAAGAGTAAAAAATTTAAAGTATTAAAATAGAGACATTTAAACATATTATTTTAATAGTTTATGAATAATATTTATATTACTATATAACTTTAAAAGGTAATGTCATGTCAAAATCATGATGGAGAAAAAATATATGAATGCATACTAAATGCTTACCCATTATTCCATCATGTGTATACCGTGTCAAAATTAAAACCCTCCTCACGCATCCAAGTAAACCTCAACATAGTGACGTCACTACTTTATCGTCATCAATTACTTTCTTCACAACTTTCTTTCTGTACGCGCTCCTACGGTATAAAGTCACACATCACAATATCTCAAACACGACGCAACAATACCAACTCAACCACTCCAAACAATATTCTACATCTCATCTACCTCCGTTTCTCTTTCTTTTTTTTCAAATTTATTCATACATGGAAAATAAGAACAAACGGATCAGAAATGATGGCTATGACAGTGAGGAAGAAAAAGAAGAGATGAAGATAGAGAAGTTCTACTCTCTGCTAAGAAGCTTCCGTGACGCCCGTGATAGATTACGCCGAAGGGAAGAACTACATGATGATCAGCTAGATCATAATGAGAGGAACAAGAAAAAGATGAAGACAGAGCCTTGCTTTGAGTTGCAGGACTTCACTACTGATATTCACTTCCCTTTCAATTTTACAGATCCAGTAAAAAACAACAACAACGTTGAGAAGAAGAAACAACCACTTAAGGAACATGCTCTTGACCTCAAACTCTCGCTCTTTAACTAGCGTCTCTCTTTATTTTTCATCCTTGGTTTTCGTTATGCTTCGTTATTACAAAAGCGTTCTAGTATTTTTTTTTTCCTCTTAGCTATTTAAATTTTGTAGTGACGAAGTTTTCTTCATAATTCGGATATATCTTCATCTACTATCTAATTTCTTTTTGCGTTTTTTATTTTAAGAAAATGTTAAATAGTAGATTTTATAAAAAGTGGCGTGTTTACTAGATTAAAAATGTGAAGTATGTAATTTTATAAATGTTCTTTTTAGTTTAAAACTCTTTAAGAGGCTTCAAGAATGGTTGGTTTGACCGTTAAATTAAGAAAGGTTCAAAACAGGAAATTAAGAAAAACGTGAAATTGAAGCAGCAAGGTTTAGAGGTGGACAAATTTGAATAGGGCAGATCAAAATCGACTAATCTATTATTTTTTATATATAAATGGATTGGGTCGAGTGTCAAATCGATTCGTTATTTAATTTAGATAATATATGATTGAATCGGTTCTCGGATGATTATTGTAGATCCGTTTAAAACTGAACCGATCGAACTTAATTAATATTTATTTTATGCATTTTTTATTAATATAGAGTTGAAATATTATAAAAAAGGAATATATAATATAGTTAAAAGTTAGTGTAAAATAATTTTACATTGTCATCTAATAAAAAACAAACTTTGTTCTGTCATTAAAAAATTTAAAATAAAAGATGACTTAATTGGATACATGATTGTGATTGGTTGACAATGTAAAACTATATTACATTATCATTATCAGTCCATCTACCATTTTCTCTTCGTAATATTATCAAGTTATTATTCTTTTTATAATTAATTGTAGCATTGTATATTCACAAAAATACAAAACATTCAATATAAATTTTTGAATGTTATTTAATTTATTGTTTATAGTATGACAGAAATATCAAATGATATTTGAAATGTTATAACTGTTGAGAATCAAGTGTGAGGAAGAAGTCCCACATTGATTATAAAATGGAAGATTGAGCACTTTATAAGTGAGAACACTCACTCATCTATTACCTTAAGGTTTTAGATGGACAAGTGGTGTGTCTCTCACAAAGGTGTGTCCCAAGTAAAATGCCCTCTCCTCGGAATTGCCCCTACAGTCGTATCAACGACTTACTTGTATCGAACGATGGTGTATGTGGAAGAGAGTCATTCGGAATTGCCCCTACAATAACATGATAATAACGTTTTTTCGATAATAAAAAATAGTTTTATTTTGATTTATTCTAAAATTTTGATAGTTTAAGAAAATTTAAAAGATGAATACTTGTGAATTTTATAAAAGATGAGTCATTTTTATAGATTTATTCTAATAAATATTAAATTGTTTTACCCGTCAAATCGACTAAATCGAATCCGCCAAAAATCGAAAAAATTTCGGTCAAAATTGAGCCTTAATAATGAAACCGCAGTTTGCGTTGGATTTAAGTTTTTGGCCCGACTTCGATCCAAACCGACTGATTATCCACCCCTAATCAGCTAGTCGTTGATTAAGTTTATTTTTTTGAATTCAGAAATAGAAATGTTGTATAATGCAGACAGAAATAGGCGACACTTTTGAAGTATTATAGTAGGCAAAAGAGGCAACATTCAACAAAAGTGTTGTTGAAAATGTGTGTTTCATCAATGGTCTCAACCTTATGAAATAACACTACTTTGGCCTATAAATTGAACATTCCAAATTCATAAAAACACATTAAAAAATAAACATATCATCTTCATACAAAATTCCAAATTTTATTTTACCTACAATCGAGTTTTCACTAGTCTTGTGCAAACTCAGATATTGACTGAATTATTCTAGGTATTCATGTGTGTAGACTCTAAGACATTTTGAGAGTGCTTGAAATACTATTAGGAACGTGATTTCATTCACGACTTAAGCCTGGATCCATTAGATTTACAAAGTTTATCTAATAGTCTAATAATATCTCAAATAATGGCTATCGAGACTTCAACTTCAAGCATCAAAGTGATAAACCGGGACCTTGTCAAGCTGGATCGTTTTGATGGAATGAACTTCACCCGCTAGCAAGATAAAATGATATTTTTCCTGATTTCCCTGAAGATTCACTATGTCTTAGATCCTAGCTTAACACCAGTTTTAGAACCAACGGAAAATAACTCTCGTAAAATCAGGGAGGTGGTAAAATGAGGCAAATGTTGTTCGTTCTAATGATGACATAATTATGACAATCAAAGGCAAGATACAAGGGTGGTGGTATAATACGCGTGCCAATGCCCATGTCTCTTATGACGAAACAAAATTCAAAACCTATTCTGAAGTAAATGATGGATAAGAAGTTCGAATAGAAAATAAAGTACGGACAAGGGTCATTGGAATGGGATCCGTTGAACTGAACTGAGCTTCCAGAAAGAAAGTGACTCTTGTCAATGTGCTTCATGTTCCAGGCATAAATAAGAACCTTGTTAGTGGGGATCTTTTAGGAAAATATGGCATTAAATTTGTATATGAATCAGGTAAATAATATTGATTCGTAATAATATATTTGTAGGAAAATGATATTCCTATGAGAGAATTATCAAACTTTGTACTATCCATAATATTATCAATACAATTTCTAATTATGCTTATATGCTTGAACATGTTTTTTTATGGCATACTAGATTAGCACATATTGAAGAGACTAGTTAAATCTAGTTTGATCTCATGTAATGTTAATGATTTCTAAAAATGGGAAATATGTGTTAAATCAAAGATGATTAAGAAACCTTTCAAAAGTGTAGAAAGAAAGACCAACTTGTTTGATCTTGTGCATTCAGATTTATACAAATTTAATGTCATGTTAACCCATGGGAAAATATGTATTTTATTACCTTTATCGATGATTGCTCTAGGTTCACACATCTATATTTTTAAAGCATCAATATGATGTCTTTAATGTCTTTAAAATTTATAAAGTAGAAGTAGAAAATAAATTAAGTAAATGTATTAAAGTCTTTAGGAGTAATAGGGGTTGTGAATTCTTTTCTATTGAATTGATGAATATTGTGAACAATATGCCATTAGACATGATGTTTCACACCTCGTACACCATAAAAAAATGGTCTAGGCAAGAGAAAGAATCATACATATAAATAAATGATAAATGTCATTTTAATACGTTTTAAATTACCCTTTAATTTATGGGGGTGAAGCCTTACTAGTCCCTTGCCATATAATTAATAAAATCTCATTGAAGAAAACTGATATTTCTCCATTTGAGGTATGGAAAGGCAGAACGCTAAATATTAATTATTTTAGAGTGTGGGGTATGTAGCCTACTATAAAAACATGGATCTAAAAATAACTAAATTGGCTCCTCGAGGGATCAAGTATGCTTTTGTAGGATATGCACCTAAATTTAAAGCATATAGACTTTTAAGTTTGGAGTCTAATGTAATTTTTAAATCCCGAGATATGGAATTCTTTGAAAACCTTATGCAAAGGATAAGGAATTTGAGTTCCCACAAAAAAGAATCTTGTAAGGAAGATTTTTCACTGATTATTGAATACAACCTACAAGTCCTTCATGAATTATTGAAACACAACCCGAGCCTAGGGTAAGAAAGAGAGCCCAAAAAGCAAAGAATCTAGGACCAAACAAAATTGATTTTTGACTTATTTCTTTTTATCTGGTTGAAGAAATCTGTAAGAATCATGTTCAAGGGATTCCTATTATTCTTAAAGTAGAGGATGATCCTAAAACCTATAAATAAATAGTAGCTTCAAGGTAATCTTTCTTTTGGAAGGATGTTATCCAAGATTAAACAAAATTAATTATATCAAACAACACTTAGGAACTTATCAATTTACCTAAGGGATCAAGTCCCATTAGAAGCAATTGGATGTTTACAAAGAAGTATCATAATGACGGTACACTAAACACCTATAAGGCTAGATTAATAGAAGAGGGATGTAGACAAAAATAAGGATTTAATTATTTCGACACATGTGCACCAATAGTAAGGACAACAAAAATTAAAGTTTTATTTGCTTTAGCCTCTTTGAATGACCTTATAGTTCTTCAAATGGATGTTAAAACAACATTCCTAAATAGAGATCTCGATGAGAAAATCTACATGGAATAACTATAAGGATGTGTGTTTCTTGGAAATGAAAAAAAGGTGTGCAACCTTGTCAAATCCTTATATGGATTAAAATAAGCACCAAAACAATGTCTTCAAAAGTTTGACTCTATTGTAATTTCAAATGGATTTACTCCCAATTCTTGCAACAAGTGTTTGTACATAAAAGTGTGTGAAAATATTGTAATTTTTCTTTGACTATATGTTTATGACATGTTGATCATTAACAATGAGATTAATGGAATTTTAGAACCAAAGATGTTTCTATTTTCCACATTCAAGATGAAAGATCTTGGACTAGTCTACACAATTTTAGGGATCAAAGTAAAGCAAAATAGCAGGGATTATGAACTTAGTCAAACACTATATATTGAGAAAATTCTTGATAAGTTCAAACACTTATTCTTTAATGAAGTGACCACTCCATTTGATCCTAGTGTCAAACTTCAAAAGAATGACGGAATAGTTGTGGCTCAATTTGAATATACAAGTGTAATTGGTTGTCTAATATATATGATGTAATGTATTTGATCTTATATAACATTTATGGTTAGTATAGTGAGTAGATTTGCAAGAAATCTAAATAGTGTGTATTGGAAGGTGTAATATGGTGGAAGAACTAACTTTTTTGTTTTATCGCAAATGTTGCGGTTAGCAAGAGTCGCCACCGATTTTTCTTTTATCCAATATTAGGAAAGGTGAAAAGAATAGGAAAGACCTTTGATAGATTTTTAGTTCGGGGGGTAAGTTATGAAAAGGGAAGGAGTTAGCACCTTTTCATCTGTAGTTATCTACGGGCTCTTAATTGTTTAGCTCACTTTTAAAAAAACTTGCTTTGTGTGTGTATGATTTGTTTGAAAATATTTTGAAATGCCAATGTAAGGCTAACTTT